CAACCAAGGATAATGCTTCCTCCAAGGAAAACTCAGAACATAGCCCTAAGAACTCCTTAAAACAGAAACTCCACTCAAATACAAGGTCACAACTCACTCCCAATGATGACTCTCACTCACACCAAGTGTTTAGGAGAAGATTTCATGAAGAAAGGTGACAACTTGGCTCACAAGAGGTGGAGGAGAGGTGGTGGCAAGGTGGCTGGTTGTAACTCAGAAAACTCCCACGTAGCAAGGCACAAAAATGACCTAGGATCATGTGCCATGGCTTTATATAGGCCACTTAAGTCTTAAACGCACTGTATTAGCGCTAAATGATACGCTTAGCATTTTAATCCCAAACTTAGGATTCTAAACCTACTCAATTTTACAGGATTTATCATATTTTTATTTTATTTTTTGCAGCACATTTCCGGTACGCGCTTTTCCATAGCCAGTATCAGTTCTCATTATTTTAACTTAAAACTTGAAATCACAGTCCTACATATTATTCTAGGAATATTCATGCACTTATTATAATTTTCCGGGATACTTCATCGGTATGCATTTATACCGAGTAGCAGAACCGATATCTGCAATTTTCGTCAGAAGATAAAGAAGTGTTTGATGAGTTGATTACAGGACAGATTCTGTTAAAATTTTGCTATTTGGGAACCTTGCTGTTGGGTCACTGTTTCTGTTGGTCATGCACTGTATATTCGTGGTTAATGTAATGCTTTGTACAGGGGTTAATTTGATTTTGTACTTTGATTTTGTGGTGAAACATGGCTGTATTAGGAAGTTTACATCGCTGCATGGAATCCTGGTAAACGTGTCTCATGTTAGTGTTATTCAGAAAATTCAGATTAAACCAGTTATGTTTTCTCGGTGTAAAGAGTGATTCAAGTGGCTAGAATATGTAAGGTTATGATGATTAATTGCAGGAAGTAACTAAGTTCTGTAGAGTAGGATTTCCTTATACACCATGCGAGTTCGATTAACTTTCAGTATGAAGTTTTAAAAGGAATACAGCCAGCACTTGTAATTCGAATTTCTCACTGATTTTTTATGCATATTGCGAGTTCGATTTCTGGGGCTACAGACCTCCGAATGAGGTATAACTTACAAGCACGTAAAGCCCCATTTATCTATTTTCCAATTATATAAAGATTATGTCTAAAACTGGTAAAACCGATTTATACTGATTTTTTCAAATCAGGAGGTTTTTGGAAAAATACACTGATTTAATGCGTACCTTGCGAGTTCTGTTTCAGGGGCTACAGATCTCCGTTTGGGATATAATTTTTATGCACATGAAGCCCCGGTAGTCTAGTTTCTGATTATATAAGATTTCTGTCAAAATTCTAGAAGATCAATTTTAGGTGATTTTTACAAGACAGAAAGGTTTTTCAGAAAAGTTATGTTTCAGCATAATATAATTTATGTCAAGAGCTTGAAAGTTTGATTTTATATGCTTTTGTGAGACAGATTATTTTCAGGAAAAATTACCCAACGACGAAATTTTTATTTTTAAAAATTTATTTACTGTTTCTATTTTACGAAGTTAGTTTTCCAAGCAAGATTTTAAATTGGTAACATCAAAATGTTTTTACGGATTAAGTATTTTCTACGATAACGTTGCGACTCTAATCGGTTTTAGCATACACTTCCCTTGGATGCATACAGTGGAGGGTGTTACACTAAATGGTATCAGAGCAATTTTGATTCATGGTGTTTGTGTATGATTGTGTAATTGTTTGTTGTTAGTGTTTGTTTGCGGGACTGTTTGCTGTCTAATTATAGTTGATGAACTGTTTGATGGCTACTGCATGTAGAATTAAATTATTGGACTGTCTGAACAATGATTGGCACGAGCTGAATTATTCTGTTAAATTGTGAAAGTTAGTATAATTGAAATATTAGAATTTTCCTGAGATATACTGAAATCACTTTGTGGCATTGTTACTTAAAGCAGTTTGAAATTTATTACTTGGAGCAGTTTTAATTCTTGAGGATTGTGTAATGTAGTGCTCGGTTATCTGAAGTGCCAGGCTGTATGGTAGGGATTTAACTTGCTGTTTGTATTATTGAATGTGTCCGGGTTGCTGTATGTTGTGTACTGTTTTATTATATGCCATGTTCGGTTGTGAGGTTTACACACTGTAATGAAGTATTTGACTTGAATGGTTGTTGTCACTAAATTGTGCAAGAGTTGTCTGATGGTACTATGTTGCAGTTGAATTGAAATATCTGCATTGTCTAATTGTATAATTGATTATTTGAGATTCTGTCCTGAAGTGGGAATCATGTCTCAATCCTGAGTCTGTTGTCGCGTATGCCATGCAGTGAGTAGGATCCACTCATTGTTTAGCATTACGAAAGTAGAATTAGTATTTATGAGGCACAAAAACCTCCTCAAGAGAGAAGTCTGATGTGTAGCAGATTGTAATTGATTAATGCCTGAATGACGAATAAATAATGAAGTATGGAATTTGACGATTCCCAGTGATTGATGAGATGATATTCCAGCTGTTACTGGGAATGGGTCTGGCCAACACATTCCTTGGTAATACGGTAGTATCAAATTGTCAAGCACCGAGAGTTAATTTAATGAAAAATTTTGATTGATGATTTAGTACCTAAGCATGAAAATCGGTAGAAGTGAATATAGGAATTAACTTGCATGTTTGGAATAAATAAATTATATTTTTAGTGTCGTGTGATTAAAGGTAGTAATGATCAACTTTTGAGATAAGATGGTGTTTAAATATGTATTAAGAATAGGGAGTCTTCAGTTTGATAAAATGAAATTATAAAAATATGTTATTTGTTTTGGGTATCAGTTTGTTAGGTATAGCAATTAAAAAGAAGTATTTGAAACTGGAAATTTGGTAGTATGTCAGGATTTGAGTTTATGAATTGCTTGAATTGTTTTAACCGTCTAGAATGTAAACTCCATAGCAGTGAAGCCTAGTTAAATTCAGTTTGGGCATTGTGCTCAAGAAATTATATGTGTTTCATGATCTGAATGCGTGAGTTCTATTATAATCTAATTACTACATGAAGACTCTTTTATTTTTGTGAATCTGGTTGGGTTAATTTTCTGTTTTGAGTACTTGATTTTGTGAACTTTATTTATGTTGAAAGCTGAAATTGAAGTGTGGCTTTATGCACTTGAACTATGAGAGCCTAGTCTATTTGATGGATTAAGATTGGTAGCTGTTTCAAATTGTAATGTGTGTAATGATTGGAAAGTTCATATCATGGTTAATGAATCCTCTGATCAGTGGAGTCAATTACATCCGAGGTACCTATGACAGCGGAAAGCTCGAGGAAGTTTCCTCATATGGATGTTTTGACGAACTGTATGAGAGGTACCACCTTACGTGATATGTACGAAGAGCATGCTAGAATTAATTAGCTGCATATATGACTGTTTGGTATCTTGGTTTTGTTGAGTACGTTGTAAAAGGATAGACATGGTTACACTTGATTCTAGGAAAATTTTAGACAGTAGCTACAGAATCAACGAACAAGCTTAACATCTCTTGTAATCATGGCAATTAGAAGTTAGTACTTTGGAATCTCGGTATCCTTACTCGTGTCCTTAATTCAGCTTCATAGTTAGAGTTTAATTAGAGGTGCCTCATAAACCCGAAGCTCTAGACAAAAGCACTACTCATCAATGTAATTCCTTTTCCGCAAGATAGTTGCAAATATTGTGCTATTAACTTAATTGATGCCGTTAAATTTTTATACCTAAATAGTGATAAAATTTTGTGATTTTATGAAGATCCTTCTACCTCATAAATTGGAATCTGATGCGTTCTGTTTACTTACTCGGTTTTCTATAGACTAGTAAGTTGTGAAATTCTAATCGTGATGTTTGCCAAGTCAGGTAATTAGTTGTGAAGTGTTTATTGAATTGAATTCTATCATATGTAAGGAGTAAGTAGGATGTGGGTGGAATTCTAAGTTGTAATGTGTAGACTGCAAAGATATAATAATTGTAATTGAAGGTCTTAGTTAATTAGCCCTCTGTTGCACAAGTAATAGACAAGTACCTCTAGTCGTTTTAAAATTTGTCTAATTCGGGATTGTAAAATTTTGTTTGTGTGATCAATTGTGAAGTAACCTTCTAGCATGCATAAAATTTTAGGGTCATCTTGTAGGTAATTACATGCATTTTCAGTATAGTAAGTATAGCAGGTGTATCAGTAAGAGTATGGCATGTTATTGATATTGACACACATGAAGAAATGCAGAACATAACTAGTAACGTAATGGGTAGCTGGAGTTTCTTGTTTAGTAAAATAATATGTTGTTTTACTCCATCTTTGTTGCAGTATGAATTTGATGTTGTTTAAAGAGATCCAGGCAATTGTTTTTATTATGATTAAGCTTAGGAAAGTTTCTATTTCCTTATGTACAAGTAAGATTTTGTTATATATTATCTGATGAACTTGTGAAGTACGAGTTATTTGTAATACTCTGAATTAATTGATGGCCTTGATAGCTGCCTAGTTGAATGTGTTATAATGTTTTGCACGAATATAATGGTGATAGGCATTCGACTTAAGCAGTCTTTGGGATGGTAGGACGAAGTTTGAGGACAAACTTCAAATTTTGGTGGGGAGAGTGTAACATCCCGCAAAAATTAGGTGATGCATTTATAATACAAATATGAGTGTGGACATATGTTATGAAATTGAAACACTTGTTAGAAAGGATAGGATTAAGGTAATTATAACATACGAGAATCTTAGTTACCACTTACGAATATTTGAGATAGTGTACACTAGGAGATGAATTGGACTCCATCTATTTTTGGGCTACGGCCCACATGTCTTGGGAGATGGCTAAGTCAGCCAAAACCATTAGTCAATCCTTTAAAAATATATCCTAATGAAATCTAAATGCATGCTTTTCATTGGTCACAGCCACACGTACATCTTCCTCCTATCACCATCCTTGTACGCACAGTGCAAGCAAAACATCTCTAATTAATTGGTTGGCCTTGAGTTGGGTTAGGGGTCAGCTTTATGTTCTCCCTCACACTATGCACGTTGCTAAGAGCAACAAGAATGGTCTCTCTCCTCTCCATTCAAAACAATAGACTCAATCAACCATTTAACCTCACAAACCGTGAAACCGTGAAGAACACCAAAAAGATTCAGTTGTGTCCCTTTCCCCCTCACCATCTTCAAAATCCGTAAGCCAAAGAAAGATGATAAAACCCCTAAGCACCTCCTTCTTTCCCCTCTTCTCTGGTTAAACCGAGGATCAACAAGCAAGGAGGATAAACTTGAGCTCTCATCCTTCATCCTTTTCCCCTGTGCGCACGACCAACATCAACCAGAAGTAGGCAATCTGAACTTGATTTCTTGAAGCTTAGGAAGGATAAAAGACTACTCCTTGTCCGATTTGGGGTCCCTTGAGTGCAAGCACGGAGATGTAAGTTCATCATCCAGACCCTTCTCTGTCCCTTACGGTTCTACCAGTACATGCATGCTATGAAGATGTAAATTTTGTCACCTCTTTCCCTTTGATTTTGTCCAGTCGTACAACCCATGGATTGGGGACATGCAAGCCCAAAACCCCTAAGGATGCCGTTTCTCCTTTCTTCTTTTAGTTGGCTGAGCCGTTAGCATCAAGGGGATGAAATGCCCCCTAACTTTGTGCGTTTTCTTGGCTCCTCACGGTGTTATGGAGTCTCCCCTCACTGCATGCCGCTGGAAACTCAAGCCATTGGAAATGTGGAAAGGTTAAAGACAATGTTCGGAGACTAGGTGGCTGTTTTCCTCAACCTTTTAGAGAGAATGTGGTTACATGCAAGAACGAGTGAGCCTCCCTACCTTGTGTATTCTCTGATTTCGACGCATGATAGGATGAGTGAGTGTCATTTTCTGTTTTAAATTCACGGACAGTGGGAAGGTGAGGGTACTGCCTCTCGCTTGGGGGATGCTTATGAACCGAGTGGAGAGCGAGTTGGGTACATGCTAGAGGTATAAATCCGAAATCTATACTCTTTTATTTCCCCTCACTGATTCGGCCTCTAAGTGTATTCAAGGAGAAAGTGTTTTTTTATTCCTCTCCTTGTTTTTGTTTCGTAGGAGACCCACGGCCTTGGTACATGTAAGCACCAGCCGATTTGGGAGCTTGAAAATAGCTCCATTAATTTTGTTGGACTATTTTCTGAATTAGAAGAATTAATTGAACCTGGCATGTGTTATAATTGTTGTAGGCAGCCTGTTAGAAGATATTTGTTCATGCCTAAGAACCGATTTGTGGGGCTGTTGGTTGAAGTAGAATAATGTATCTAGCCTTACCCATGTAATGACTAAGTAGACAGCATACTTTAGTCCTAATTAGCGCACCTTAAACCGTGTAGATGATATTGTGTAAATGATAAATTGTGGCACCCAATTAATGGACCAGAATCCGAACCTACATGCATGGAAGACCATGGTTATGTCACTGTCATCGATTGGTAAAAGAAGCTCTAAGTCAAAATAATTAAATTAGAACAAGAACCATGAAAACCGAATTGGTATGTGTAGACTACCTTAGATTTTGGTCAATTAAGGACAATTGGTAAACTAATACTATGGCAGAAAAGTTGTTTAGTAAATGAACATGGAAACCGATTGTAAAGCAAGAATTTAGGACAATGGGAAACTGTGTAATGTATAGGACGATATGAAGTAAATTCTGATTTGATATATATATTTGATTAGGTACGCAAGATCCTAGCTAATTGGACTGTTTGATGATATTTGGTTACAAGATTATACGCGCAGAGGTATGTGTTTGGTAGTTAATCCTTTGTGACTCTTAACTTAGTTCTTGGAATTTTTGATATGTTGCCCATGTGTCTCATTTTGATTATGTTTGGGAAATATTTGTATTCTGTATTGAAATATGACTTGTTGAAACTCCGATTTTTGTGGAGATATATTCTGCTTAGAAATTTGGTGTCATAGACATGTGAGCTATGATTTATGACTCTGAATTCTGATCATATTCACGAACATCATATATTCGCATTTATCATGTGTGTGAAGCAACTCAAAACATCGCATGCATCATTAAACATGCAGTTTTGGAATTTGAAATATTTGATCAAAAGAAGCATATGTTTGAGCACACATCATATAGGCATCCCTCAGGTACCAGGGATAAGGAACCGTGACTCAGTTCGCATAGGTCGCAGTTGGAATTTCCCTCTGTTGGGCCAAATGGAATCTCCACTGTGTTAGTTAGTAGTACGTGCACTGTAGTGCTATGAACGTACATTGCTCTAGCGTTATATACACATTCTGTTTAGCATTCTGATTATATCTTAGCATCCGTTCTGAACTTAAGTGCTGTAGCATGTTAGAAATTCTGCATCTAAGTTATTATTGTTGCACTATTGGATTTTCTGCCACACTACTGGGATTTTTTCTCACCCCTTCTGGGGCTCAATTTTTATAAAATTGCAGGAAGATAAAGAAGTGTTTGATGAGTTGATTACAGGACAGATTATGTTAAAATTTTGCTATTTGGGAACCTTGCTGTTGGTTCACTGTTTCTGTTGGTCATGCACTGTATATTCGTGGTTAATGTAATGCTTTGTACAGGGGTTAATTTGATTTCGTGCTTTGATTTTGTGGTGAAACATGGCTGTATTAGGAAGTTTACATCAGTGCATGGAATCCTGGTAAACGTGTCTCATGTTACTGTTATTCGAAAAATTCAGATTAAACCAGTTATGTTTTCTCGGTGTAAAGAGTGATTCAAGTGGCTAGAATATGTAAGGTGATGATGATTAATTGCAGGAAGTAACTAAGTTCTGTAGAGTAGGATTTCCTTATACACCATGCGAGTTCGATTAACTTTCAGTATGAAGTTTTAAAAGGAATACAGCCAGCACTTGTAATTCGGATTTCTCACTGATTTTTTATGCATATTGCGAGTTCGATTTCCGGGGCTACAGACCTCCGAATGAGGTATAACTTACATGCACGTAAAGCCCCATTTGTCTATTTTCCAATTATATAAAGATTATGTCTAAAACTGGTAAAACCGATTTATTATGATTTTTGCAAGTATGGAGGTTTTTGAAAAAATACACTGATTTAATGAGTACCTTGCGAGTTCTGTTTCTGGGGCTACAGATCTCCGTTTGGGATATAATTTACCTTGCGAGGTTTTTCAGAAAAGTTACGTTTCAGCATAATATAATTTATATCAAGAGCTTGAAAGTTTGATTTTATATGCTTTTGTGAGACAGACTGTTTTCAGGAAAAATTACCCTTTCAACGGCGAAAGTTTTATTTTTAAAAATTTAGTTACTGTTTCTATTTTACGAAGTTAGTTTTCCAGGCAAGATTTTAAATTGGTAACATCAAAATTTTTTTACGGATTAAGTATTTTCTACGATAACGTTGCGACTCTAATCGGTTTTAGCAGACACTTCCCTTGGATGCATAAAGGGGAGGGTGTCACAAAATGTTTGAATTTGAATTTGAATTGGCTATGAAAAGTTGTTTCATAACAAAAGGATAAGATAAGATCTTGTTGGAACAAATCCCATGTATCAAGAGGAGATCTTTGGAGATCACCAAGGGCTATTTGGGGCGCTGATTTGGTGTGATTATAAGTGTCATCTAGTCAACCAAATAAGCTCCAATCAGATTTGGTTGGTTGAGAGAATCACTGAGTGAGTTGGTTCAAATTTGAATGCAGCTGCTCAACATATCTGGACCCCTTTTGGGGCTGAATGGGGCACATAGATGGCTGGCCATATGATGGCCATTAGGTCAAAATTTTGACTAGATAAAGATCTAGTCTCATGAGGATTGAATGGTAGGTTGTTGCGAATTTTGAATTGCAACAACTCCACCATTTCTCTCCCTTTATGTGCGCCATTTGTGATCAGAATTTGGTGTAGAAAATCTGATTCCATCCTTGCTTCCTCTCATCCTTTTGGTGCGCCACTTTTGTTAGGTTTTCCCTAAGTGTTTTTGAAATTAACCTAGCTTTTTCTAAGAGCATCCATGCCCCACTTTTGTGAAGCTTTCATGCTGAAGACTTCACTCTTCTAAACACATTTGTCTAGCCGCCTCCTTCACACATTGGACACCTAGCAAGCTTTTGTGGTGATCAATTGGTGGCTTTTCAAGAAGAGTTCTTGCATCTTGACGTGGGGTGGTGTGGATCAACGTTAGAGGGTTTGGACCCTTCAAACCTGACATTGATTTCCTTGGTGTTTGAATCACAAACAAAGTTAACATCATGTTGTCTTAAAGCACGAGTCTTGATTGCATGTGTGATTCCGCTTGGGAAAATTTTTGTTTTTCCCTCTCACATGCTTCGGCCTTCAAGGCCATTTATCTTTTAAGTGGTATCAGAGTCCGGTCGCTTTACTATCGGCGGGTGATGGTACTTTGTTTGTGAAAATTATTTTTCACGGTCAAAAGTTCTTTAAGGATGTTAAAGATTTATTCTTTGCATGTGGGTTGTCTTTTTCCATGAACTTGATTAATATGATTATGGTGTTCATATATCTACGTGCACTCATGGTTTTGTTTGTTTATGATTCTTTGTGAAAGTTTTAAAAGAAACATCTTTTAGAAGGGAGTATGATTCAGCCATGATGTGAATATTCAAATGCCTTGTTTTCTCCATGATCTTTTTTATTTCAAAGTGCATGAAAAGGTTCATGGCATATCTCAACCATATGAATAAAATTAGGGTTTTTGATTTTTTCCATTTTGATCTTGATAATTTTATGTTTTGGTTAGATGAATTGTTCATGAACATAACATAAAATTTTTGTGATAAAATGTTTGTACATGATGATGTATGGTTCGGCCATGTTAGTATATGGTTGAATGAATGGTTTAATTTTTGTATTCTTTGAGAAAGATTTGACAAAGATTTTTTTTTTTGGTAAACGACAAAGATTTGAATTATGAATAAAGATGCATGATTCGACCATTTGGAGAAAATTAAAAATTTTGAATTTTGATTCTTGTTTTGATATTTTAATTGTTAAATATCAAGATATAAGTGAGAAAATATTTGATATGATATTTTGTGCTTGCAAGTTGTCTAACTTTTCAGGTGCAAAAAGGAAGGGGATGGTCATGGTGCCCGAATTTAAATTTTAAATTTTAAATTAAAGGAGAAATTTTGCTCTATTTAAATCAGAGGTGTAAATTTGAATTTTAAATTTTGTATATTCATTTGTCCCTCCAAAGATGTTTTGGAGTTTCTTTAATTATTTTGTAATTAGAGAATTAGGCTAGTGGAGTTTAGACGACAAGGAGCCGTGGCTTAAGAAGCAAGATGGACGAATGCACGAGCACCATGACCGTCTCAAATAAAATTGTTTTATATTCTTGTATATTTTTAAACGACTAGTATGCATGAGATAGTGTATCACGGATGCATGCTTTTATGTTTTAAAAACGACTAGTATGCATGAAATTGGACAAATCGCATTTGTATGTATTATTCTGCACATCCAATTACGACTAGTGTAATCTGATTGATGTTTGACATAGGTTACGACTAGCATGATAATAATACCTATGCGTTTGATGAGACTTAGTAAACCCTAAATAAAAGGAACCCTTAAAGGAATTAATTATTAAGTGCATGATTACCTCCCACCACCAATATTACTCAAACCTCCTCTAAATAGTGGTGCTCCACAACTCAGTTGGGACCCACTGTTTCGTTGAGTAAGAGTAGTATTAGAAGTGTTAAACACTTAGGGTGCTGGTTAGTGCTTAACTAAGAACATGAGTTGCAGGCTCAGCCGGGCTCATGTGCTTAGGGTAATAATGCTAGGTTGGTTCTGAGATGCACCACTAAGTGACAAGGAGTTGTCAACCTATGAGATACTGTTGATAAAGATCAACCCATTATTTAATTTAATCTTGCGTTCTCAGACGAGGGTTAAAATAATTAATCGCACTCTTAAAATCCCACTAAGGTAAAATCTAAGAGTAGAACAACCCTAAGTCAAAGTTTAAGGGTCGTTGACTTAGATAAAATAGTGGGAGGGGAAAATTATTTAAAGTCTTTAATAATTTGTTCTTATTACACGACAATATATTAATTAATCTATCTCTACATTTTTCAGTTTTTAATATGATTAAACCACTGTCACTGCGCTCAATACTCGATACGAACAAATTAACCGGTCCTAATTTTATGGACTGGTATCAGAACGTCAGAAATGTTCTGCGGGCCGAAAAAGTTGCTTATGTCCTTGACACTGTTTTACCTATTGCGCCTAAGGAAGGGGAAGATGGGTTCACGGAATTTGATTTTGAAGCCCACAAGCAACACATGGATGATAATGTGTTGGCTTGTTGCATCATGCTGGCATCCATGTCAAGCGAGCTGCATAAACAGCACGAGCATATGGATGCCCCCTCCATTGTCCTTCATCTCAAGGAGTTGTATGATAAGAAGGATAAGCATGAGAGGTATGAGACCTCTAGGGAATTGTTCCAATGCAAGATGACTGAAGGCATGTCTTTTAACCGTCATGTCCTGAAGATGATAGCGCTCGTTGAGAAGTTAGAGGGTCTAGGCTTCATAATGGATGCTGAATTAATTAATGACTTAGTTCTATCATCACTTCCTCCTTCCTTCAGTCAATTCATTATGAATTACAACATGCATGAGATGCTTGTGAGCTTGCCTGAATTGTTAAGTATGTTAACAACTGCTGAAGTGTCTATCAAGAAGGATAAGATACATGTTTTTCTGATTGGTGGGCCTAAAAAGGCCAAGGGTAAGGGCAAGGAGCCTGCTACAGGCGACTCCCTTAAGCGCAAAGGAAAATCCAAGAAGAAGAAAGGCAAAAAGAAGGGTAAGAGTGCACCTAAGGACAAAAGCGATGCTGAGTGCTTCCATTGTGGTTAGAAAAGCCATTGGAAGAGGAATTGTCCAGACTACCTGAAGAGTGTGAAGGACAAGAAGCATGGTGATGCTTCTACCTCAGGTATTTACATGATTGAGATAAATTATTCTTGTGCTAATCCGACTTCATGGGTATTGGATACCGGTTATGGTTCTCATATCTGCAATGTGTTGTAGGTGCTTAGGAACCCTAGAAGATTGGAGAAGAACGAGGTGGACCTCCGCGTTGGTGATGGAGCAAGAGTTGCTGCTCATGCTATTGGAGATACCAACCTCATTTTGCCTACGGGCCTTTTGTTGCATTTGAATAATTGTCTTTATGTTCCTAGCATTTCTAGCAACATTATTTCTTGTTTAGAACAAGATGGTTTTGCTTTCACTATTAGGGATGGTACATTTTCGATCATTATGAATGATATTATTTTGGTACTGCTTCTTTAATAAATGGCCTATATGTTTTGGAAATGAGAACTGAAGTGCTCAATGTAAATGTGAAACGACCTAGGATAAATAATCAATCTTATCTTTGGCATTGTAGACTATGGCACATAAACGAAACAATATTGTCTAAGATGCATGAAAATGGATGCCTAGATTCCATGGATTTGGAATCCTATGGACAATATGAATCTTGTCTAGCTGGGAAAATGACTCGTCATAAGCCTAAAGGGCTTGAGAGTCATAGGGCTAGTGAGTTATTAGAACTCATTCACTCTGATGTTTGTGGCCTAATGTCTATAGAGGCTAGAAGATGATACTCTTATTTCATTACCTTTACTGATGATAAATCAAGATTTGGGTACGTGTACCTAATGAGATATAAATCCGAAACCTTTGAAAAGTTCAAAGAGCATAGGAATGAAGTAGAGAAATAGCGTAGCAAGATGATTAAGACATTGCGATCA